AGGGTGGGGAGAGAAAAATTAGAGTATGAGAGATGGAAATGAGAGAGGTAGAAAGAAAGAGATAAAAAATATATAAGTGAAATATGAAAAGAATTTCAAATTCTTACATTTTTTTTATAGAATTTAAAATTTTAATATTTTCAGAAATTTTATAATTTTTTTTTATTTTAAATTCTTTGAAAATTTTCTATCCAAACAAAATATTTTATCTCAAAGCATTTAATTTTTTTTTAAAAAAGTTAAACTATTCTATTTAAAATCTCCATCCAAACATACTCTAAATATATATTTGAATAATTACTAAGTTAGGAAAGGAAAATGATAATACTATCCACGTCTTCTTCACTCCTTTTATATCTTAATTTTGGTTTAAATATGTTTTTAGTCCCTTAAATTTAAAATAAATTTAGTTTTGATCCCTCAAATTTAAAATTGATATTTTTAGTCCCTGTAATTTAAAAAAAATCTTATTTTAGTCCTTATATTTAAATTTTGTTAAAAAATTTATCAAATATTATTGCATAAAATCTACTTATTAATGTCTTTGTTAGTAAAAATATCACATTAAATCCAATTGATATTGCATAACCATCTTAATTTGTTACTTTTAAATATGTTATCGGTGATTTGAGAAACTAAAATAAGATTTTTGAAAATTACAGGGACTAAAACCAACGATTTTAAATTTGAGGGACAAAAAACAAATTTATCTTAAATTTAAGGGACAAAAATATATTTAAACCTTTAATTTTTAAGTCAACTTTTTATAGGATAATAATAATAATAATAATAATAATAATAATAATAATAATAATAATAATAATAATAATAATAAAAGAAAGAAAAAAGTATAAGTATATTTCCTTAGATGAAATCCTCTTAAAATCGAGTATAGATATATGTGAAATATGAATAACAAACTCTTCTTAAGAGTATTTAAATATTTAACATAGTTATATACTCAAAGTTAAATTTACAATTTTTAATTAAATAAAAGTAAACTCGCATAAGGTTTTTTTTATTTTTTATTTTACAAAATAAACTCATAAAAGTTAATCAATGCAATTATTAGACATGTATTAATATCAAAATGCTACGTAAGTTTTAGACTTAAATATTTTCTTGTTCCTAAAATTTATATGAAAATTTTCCTTAACTTTTAGTTGTGTAATTTTTTTTATAGTTACTGTTTTAAATGACATGTGAAACATCAAGTGATTTAAATTTATTTGAAATAGTGTTTAAAAGCTTAACTTGTCATCTAAAATAATGTAAAAAGTCATGACTGAAACTAAAAATAAAAGTATTTTCTAAAAATCAAAAGTTAAACAAAAAATTTTTAGGAACCAAAAACAGAAAACAAGGTATATTTCAATAATAATAAAAAAAACATATTTAAGTCTAAGTTTTAAATCGATATCCCGTAAAACTCAATTTCGTTAATGTCATTCTATATTTCTATAACTTTTTACGTTTACACAATAAATGACGATTACTCTTATACCAGTCATCATTGAATACTTTCGTATAAAATGTGACTTTAATTGATCTAATTGATAATGTATATAATATTTTTTTAATATATAAATCAATTAGATTTATTATCTTATTGTTAAAATTGAATTGTTAACAAGCTTGATTTAGCGTAAAATATATTTAAATAAAAGCAATCGATGCAAAAGTAATAATTTAATGTAGGAGTTGTCTTTCCATATAGTGGAGGCAAGGGTCGCACTCATCAGTTCACCTTCTGCCCAAGTTGCTATAAAGGCCTCATAAATCATAATAATACATTCATTACCTTCTTTTTTTTCTTTCAATCTTTTTCTCCTCCTTTTCCGCGGTTTCTCGCATGCTTTCAAAAGATAACAAGAAAGAATGATTACTTAATAGCACTAATTAAGTTTTTTGGCAGAAGAATTGATTGTATTTTTTATTTTTTGCAAGTTTGTGTTGCTTAATTGAAACTAGGAATCGTAGTTAGAGTAATTTATCTGATGATGTATATTTCATCCATCGGTCTTGATTTTTTATTTCGAAGAAAGTGAAAAAAAAAATGACATTTTTATATATTCATCCGAAACTATGAGTTATTTTCAGAGATCATTGTAGATTACATACGCAGAGACAAATAAATGTTCCAAATACATAACATTGCTTAAGCATTATATATAATGTTTTGAAGTAATATTTTTACTAAAAATAAATATTTTTTAATAGAAAAAATTCTTAAAAACTCTTTTAATTAATTTGTAGTCAAAGAGATTCATAATTTGTTGATAGACAATATGTAATTTAATTATAAGTTTTTTGTTGACGTTGTCAATTTATTCTTCATAGGAAAAGTCATTATCTATAAATAAAAAAACAAATGTCCCGAGGGGAATTAAATTTGTCTTAAAGTGCGAGAATCCCGTTAAGTTATGGGGAAAAGTTATGCAACGAGAAAATTGAGTGAGTCTAAGATGTTGCTTTTGAAGGTGGCATGGTTATTACAAATAATAAAGGAAGCTATTTCTTTAATTTAGACCAACAAGATAATAGTACGTAATAGACTATATTTGGAAATTATTAATGAACAACAATTAAAAAGTATTAATAATGAATTAGTATATTGGTACTCTTCATAGTCGTTTAACGTTTTGCACGGGATTTAAGGAAATCATTGATATTTTAATTTCAAAAATATTTATTACTTACTTTCTTATTTTACCTTTTATTTTTTTTTGTATTTTTCAGACGGTTAAACTACTCCATTAAATAGTTGTCCCTTTTTTTTTTGTTTTTTTTATAATATTTTGTTGGGAACATATTGCTCTTATAAATGCACATTAACTTTATATGAGTAGTTGGAGAAAAATTAGGTAAACATTAAAAATAAATACACGTTCAGGAAACATGTATTAATTATTAAGGGTAAAAATGGAAGAAAAAAATTAATAACTCATTGATTTTAGTAATATGACAATGAAAAAAAAAATAACAAACTCTGACAAAACGACTATGAAAAAAAAATGGAGGGAGTATTAACTTGCCCAATATTAATTTCTACTCAGGACAGATCCATAACTCTGATAAAATGGTCAAATTTTTTAATGATAAATTTAAATAAATATTAAATTATAATCGTTAAATGTGTGATATTATTTATCTAACTTATGAATATTATTTTTAAAATTATAAAATTCATTCAAAATATAGAATATGATGTATCAATTTTTAATCTATCTCAGTATAAAATTAAATGATTAATAAATATCAATCTTTCATTTTATTCTTAATTTTTTTTATCATCTATATAATTACAAATAATCTCTCAATTATAACAATAAAAACAAAAGGAGAGAATTAAATAATAAGTTAAATATTTTCTTAAAATTTATATACTTAAAATGATAATATATTTATCATGGTACATTTTGTTTAAAGAGTCAAGAAAGAGGGGCCAAAACTCTTGTTTGGCTCCCTTGGATCTGTCACTGTACCAACTACTAAGGTTCGATTTGGTTAATGGGTGGAAATTCATCTATTTTAAGAGTATTTTTTTAGTTTATTTGTACGCACCATTTATCAGTCTGCCCATAA